GACCAAATTAGGACGTCCTAAAGACGTCTGGTAAAGACGTCTTTGTTAGGACGTCCTTGTGACGTTAATATAAAGACGATATCAGGACTTCATTATTTAGACGTCCTATTGACGTCGCTAAGACCTACATAAGACGTCCTAATTACCTTAAAAATAATTAATACTATCAACTTGGCGCATACAATATTATGCGCAAACTCGGCTATTTAAATATGTCTACATGTTTTAGTTGATTATTTTAAGACTAATATTTTGTTTAGTTATGTATCGTTTAAAGATATTTTTTAATTTTCTATATTCTATACTCTATGATCTATAAACTATAATCGATACAATATTTAAATAAAAGAGTAACTAAGTTACAAGTATAATGAGGGAGTTTTAACAAAAGACATCAAAATTGCACCAAGACTTTTCACTTTGTGTTTTATAGAATAGTATTGATATTTTGTGTGTCTGTGTTATATATAAATTAATATATACATATTAATTTATATATATATATATATATATATATATATATATATATATATATATATATATATATATATATATATATATATATATATATATATATATATATATATATATATATATATATATATATATATATATATATATATATATATATATATATATATATATATTAGACTGCTTCATTTTGAGGTCATGAAAAAATTTTAAGTATCATTGAGTGTTATCTGCTGCGTTGACCCTTATTTTATTAGTAGAATTTTTTTTTTTTCAATTTTGACCACTTTTAGGGGTTGCTCAAGTGCCTCAAAAGTCATATTTTAGGCTTTTTTACCCTTTTTTAAGCCCATTTTTCGCACGTTTGAGCAAGTACTAAAACTCAAAAAATTTGAATTTTTTTTTTTTCTATGTTTTTTTTAAGTTAGAATTAAAAAATTAAAATGCATGGTAATTTTATTTTACTGAAATAATTTGTGTAAATTTATCTACAAAAACGCAAAGTTATGCAGATTTTTACCGAATATTACGCATTGCAATATCTTTATGGATATGTTAAGCCATTTGGAAAAAAAACCTAACTATGTTGCATAAAACATCTATATATACCATTAAAGGTCTATAAAAACTTTATTATATTGCATGAAACTTCATTAAATTACATGAAACGAAAAAAAATCTAATTATATTGAATAAAACGTCTAGCAATTTTGTTTAACAAATTTCTTTATAATTAAATTTCTATAAAATTTATAATTTTTTTTAAAAATGTTATGTTATATTTTTATACTGTTTTTTTTCTTTTTTTTTCTTGGATTTCTTAGTTTTTCCTCCATACTTCCTTTGTAATTATGCAAAAATAAAAGTGAATCCTTTCTTTTCTCTTCTTTTCGGGCAATATCAATTTTGTCTTTTATGAGTTTAACGATTCTTTCCGAGCAATCATTAACAACTGAAAGATTAAAAACTGCCTCCTGAAATTTTAAGTAAAAATCGTTGCAAGTCCAATATTCTGGAGGGGTTTTCATCCATTGACAGTCACTTTTACTTTGGCCTATCATAAGGAACAATAGCCACGAATTTTCTGTGACCAAATGAACTGAGCTGGGAGGCTTCGGTCCACTGAAGTCTAAAGAATTGAGGACCTCTATGTTAGCACTTATTCGGGCTAACGGATATTCATCCATACTATGAAATTCATAGCCGTATAGTTTTTGAGCAATATCACCTCTTACTTTACATTTTTCATATATATATATATATATATATATATATATATATATATATATATATATATATATATATATATATATATATATATATATATATATATATATATATATATATATATATATATATATATATATATATATATATATATATATTTCATACTTTTTAAGTTGGTACCTACCTGATTCGGAGCAGCAGCGGATAGTTCAGCTTTGAGAAACCAGGTAGTATAGAAAACAGAGACAAAAGTTGCCACTTCAGTAATTTCATGCTTCAGCCATTTTTCCAGACTAGGTATAGCATCCATCAAGTATATATCTAGGTATAGCATCAAGTATATATCTAGGTATAGCATCCATCAAGTTGGAGTTTTAGGTAGTAGATACCTATAAAAAAAAGTTTTTTTTTTTAATTTTTTAAAAAGACTAATATTTGATAATGTAAAATAAATTCCTTTTTTTTGCAACTTGAACCTTTTTTTATCATGAACCTACAATTCCTTACCTTTTACCATAAAGCGGGCATGGTGGACTGCTCCAGGAGTACGAAATTTGTACCTGTCCTCAGAAAGCACCATAAGTGTAAGCTCTGCCAGCTCAATGTAGTCCTTCCTTGTAGCCCCATCCTAAAAATGAAATAAAATAATAAGTATTTAGCTATAATAAAATAAACCTATTTATATTTTAGTATAATAAAGAATAATAGAATTAAAAAAGAAAAATTTATAAAAAAATTTCAACATAAAAGTACATACTACATAGATACCTACAAATTCAGATATCTAGTTATTGGCTACCTTTTTTAGAGACCCACTGGTGATAATATTTCTGCAGAACGTTATGCTTTCATGCTTTTGATGACCAAGCCATGTTTCCTCTGGAATAGTCAATTTTCTCAAAACCTTATTTATTCAAAACGTAAAAAAAAAATTCAAAGAACTCAAAATTGGAAAAAGAAAATTATTTGGAAAAAATAATATTTCACAAAATGGTAGCTAATTTTGTAAGAACCTACCTGGTTGTCTGCGTCAAGATCATTCCATGCTGATTTTAAAGTTTTAAACAGCAGATTATCTGGTCCAGAAGTAATGCTACTTTGATAATTTTTCCAAAAATGTGTTATGTGTAGCTCATTGACATGATGTCGGCATGCAATAGATAGAACTGATCGTTGAAAGACTTCATTTACCAGTAAAGATACAGCTCCATTTTTTTTCCAGTGTTGATTCTGCTAGTATCAAATGTTACAGCTTGTATATTGTCTGTAAGGTTAAAGCTATTTAAGATATCTCTGATTGCATTTTTTTGATTTTCGCCAGTTCCAGAAGAAATGGGTGGAATTCCCAACAGGTGCGTTTCCTTGTTAGCGTTTATTAATATTGCTAATCGATCTTGTTCCAATTTTTTCCCATCAGTATATTCATGACATACTTTTCCATCAAAATGGAGTTGAACTAAAATGTTTTTATTGATTTTTCTTAAACTTCTTAAATCATCCTTGATCCTCTTTGATTCATCATGAATGACCTTATCTGCAGCGAGTAATGCTGTAGAGGTTGAAGATTTAAATTCAGCTACATTTCCACCCGATTTAGCGATTATACTATTAATCATGGAAGCATGCTGCCTATGACTTATTCTTTCCCCAACAGCAGTATCAGCAGTTCTCTTGAGCATATCTTTTGTAAGCATAACAGTATTAGTTTTTTTGACTTTTTTCTTTAACTCTGGATCTGGGTATGAAAAATTATCATTACCTTCATCTTTCTCCGATCCATTTGAGCTGAATTCACTCTCTGACATGGTTTCATGCAAATTTGATTTCCTTTTAATTTTGGATAAACTCCTGTTTACAGAGTAAAGGTACCTTGTATCGATTCCACCTATTCTAGTTTTTCTATCTCCTAATTGGGCTAATAAAAATGCAATATCTTCAGTCTTGTCTTGATCCTTTCGTTTCCTATCAGCTTTAATGATTGCAACCAGAGTATCAAGCTCAGGTGCAATCCAAAAGATACTTTTCGTCTGAGTTAAAAACCTCCTCCTTTTTTCAATCTCTGATAAAGTTTGTCTTGCTTTGTTTTTTTTTAACAGTTTCCAGGTTCGGATCAGCTTCTCTATCTTTATACTAAAAAATGTGATTTATAGGTTCGGTATATTTTACAACACACCTATTTCTGTTTATTAACTTATTTAACAGCAGACATTAGTTATATTAATATTTTCCGCTGATAAGTAATAATATATAAATAAAAAAAACATATACAGTCTGGTACCTACCTAATTGTTTGTAATTGTAAAATCTGAAATCCATCCTTCAACCAAGGTTTAATTAACTTTGAAAGAGTGCAGAAAATATGTTTTTCATTATGGCAGCTGATTTCAGTTTACCCAAAACAAAAAGAAAGTAGAATTATCCACTGTCCATTGACAAGTTTTTTGTCAATGGACAGTGGATAATTCTACTTTTTGTTTTGTTTTGGGTACTTCTCCTTCAAATGCAAGAAGTATTGCAAAACCAGGATGACCTGGATTCCCTTACCAAAAAATGTGTGTCAACTTTTTCCTTACTTCTCCCTTACATGAATAAATCGGTAGTAAATAGCTTCAATTAGTATATGGAGTAAGTATATCATAAGAGTAATCTATATTTATTTCCCGCGTTTTTAAATCAAAATTAAATATCGTTTTTGTTAAAAAGTAATTTGCATAACATGTTTAAGCAAATACGCAACATTTTTAAATTAACGCGAAGCGCAACAATTGCATAACTTTGCGTTTTTGTAGATAAATTTACACAAATTATTTCAATAAAATAAAATTACCATGCATTTTAATTTTTTTATTCTAACTTAGAAAAAACTCTAGAAAAAAAAAAATCAATTTTTTTGAGTTTTAGTACTTGCTCAAACGTGCAAAAAATGGGCTTAAAAAAGGGTAAAAAAGCCTAAAATATGACTTTTAAGGCACTTGAGCAACCCCTAAAAGTGGTCAAAATTTAAAAAAAAAAAAAATTCTACTTATAAAATAAGGGTCAACGCAGCAGATAAGACTCCATGGTACTTAAAATTTTTTCATGACCTCAAAATGAAGCAGTCTAATATATATATATATATATTAGGTACGCGGAAATCGCGATTTACGGAACCGATTTTTATGCTAAAATTTTGGTTCTCGTTTTTTTCACTCTTTTTTATGCAGCGTGAGGCAGACGTAGTTTTAAGTAGTTTCTTTTTAGAAACATATATAGACAAAGATACTTTTTGGAAAGAAGAAAAGTTAATCTTGATTTTTGAAATACTTTTCTGTATGGTTACTAAACTTTTTTATGGAACATTTTGCTCCTGAATATTAGGTTGATGTTCTCCCATGAATTTGTGGTCAAAGAAATGTAGAGTCTGCTTTTTTTATTTTTAAGATAGCTTGTTTCATGTATTTTCTATGCACATGCCAAATTTCAGCAAAAAATAATTATAAGCAATTAGTCTAATTAGTATTATACCAAGTATACCACTTTTTTTTAGGTAGCCCTAGGCAAACGGTTTTTTGAGGTGGTTTTTTTTTAGAAACATATATAAACCTTGACGACTTTTGAAAGAAGAAAGATTAGGCTTGATTTTTATAAACTATTGTGTATCGCTAACATACCTTTTTATGTAGTATTTTGCTGAGAATTTTGCATGGAAATTTGGCTGATGTTGTAACATGGATTTGTAGTCGAAGAAATATAGAGTCTGCTTTTTTTATTATTAAAATAGTTTTCTTCATGCATTTTCTATGAATATGCCAAATTTCAACGAAAAATAATTATAAGCAGTTAGTCTAATTAGTGTTGGACTTTAGGTACCTAATTTCGGTTTTTCTGTTGTTTTTTTTGGTAAGCAAAATCCGGTAGGCGCCGAAATCCGGATAAGGGAGCGTTTCAACTAATAATCTTATTTTGAATTATTGTGATATATATTATTAGATTTAAAAAAATATGGCAAATTATAGCAAAAATGTGTTAGATGCCCTAACAGAAAGTAAGTTTAATTTTTTTTATTCTTAATAATAGTATTAATAACTATTTTTAACTCCAAAAAAAAAATGAATAATGTAAAACCTTCATTGTTTTTTATGTAACATATTAAAAAGCTAGTACTTTTTGATCTGTGAATAGATTTCAAAGATTACCAGTTTCAAAGTCATTATTTGCAATATTTATTTTTTATTACAAATTTTGAATTTTAGCTACATTTACGTGTTCAACGAATGGTAAGTTAAACAATTATTACTTCTTAATATGTGTATATATATTCCTGATGAATGCAATATAAATTTTTTATTAAATCATTTTTAACCTTAGTTCCTTCTACATCTACTATTTGTGGTATGTTTACAAGTTTCTACTTTTTAATATGTTTATGCATATCTTGGCAATTACAGTATTTATTTTTAATCACAACTTTGATAATCTTTAGTTACATCTTCTGCGGCTTCTATGACTGATGTAAGTTTAAAAACTATTATTTGCAAACATTTACACACCTTTCTTATCAATTGCAAATTTTTATAGAAACTTTTTTTATCTTTAGTTCCAGGTGTTCAACCTTCTGCTGGTAAATTTATGATTTAAAAATGTTTCTTAATGACTATTGAATTTATGTTTATATTTATATACACTATTTAATGCATTAGTGTTGTATTATCCCTCAAAGTGCAGCAGAATGAAATTATTACTCTCATTAATATTGTTTAAGATATCATTGATTAATACGTTGTTCATATTATTTATTCAGCCTATCATTTTTGCAATTAATTGTTTTATATTAAATTTTACATAATGCCATTCAGTACTAATCTATTAAAGAATCATTGTCATTTAGAGCTAACTTATCAAGACTACCTATTATATAGGTCCCAGCATCCTGGACCCACCAGCAATAGTTCATTTAAGCGATGGGTCCGGTTAGGAGGAAGGGACAATATTTCTTTTAAATGGCCCTATCATCCTCCAAACAATGGTGCTGGGAGCCGCAGCAGAAGGGGAGGTGGTCGAGGTCGTGGAAGTGGAGGAAGCAGAGGGAGAAGATGGAATGGTGGCAGCCTAGTGGTTCATGGAGATTATTACAATTATTAGGCACCACCATTCCTTTTTTTTTTTAAATATATATTTAATTTCTGCAAGTTTATTTTCCGTTTTTTCCCAATTTATACAATTATCAACATTTGCTTTATATTTTTTCAAATTTTTACCACAAAAAATTTAAAAGCAAAACATTGTAATAGTCCCAATGAAATACTTTTTACATTTTTAAAAGTTGTATTATATAAATTTGTAAAGTTTACACTATAGATAGATGTGGACCTTTCAATAGGATAAGGTTTTTTTTTTTAAGATTCTGTAGCCCACGTTAAATGTAATTTTAAATTTATGTGTAATATTTCAAATGTTGATAAATGTGAAGTGTATTTTGCAAACTTATTTACTATTCTTGTTTTAGTTTATTAAAAATGTTTGTTTGACTTTATTAATAGTTATTTGATTTTATGTTATTGTACCCTATGTTTACAGTTCCTAAAAATTATATTTGCATTATTGAGGTTGAAATATCAGTTTCTTGTAATCGTAACTTGTTTAAAGTAGGTATGTATGAGTTTTTTAAATTATTTGATATTTTTTAGGTTTATATAATTTAGTACATTTTTTTACATTATTTATAATATTATTAATCTTGGAATTTTAAACAATATCATTTACTAAAAGCCAAGACTTAAATTTACTATATTTTGTTATATAAGTTAAAACTTATATAATAATATTATTATATTATTATATAAGTTTTAAAATTAGTTTTATCTTTGGCCTATTTTTTGGGTGGATACTCCAACTTGCATTTTGTAATGTGGTAAAATTAGAAAAGTTATGTCTCTTTAAATAAACATAATTTAAAAACATTAAAAAAATTTTTGACATTTTTTGCAAGTTTGAATGAGAAGGGGAGGGGGCGTTGGGTGTAGAACACACCCCTACCTGTACTAACATATTAAAATAATCTTGAATACTTGTTTCTCTTTTCAAATAAACTTAATTTAAATTAATTTTTCAAATATCTTTTTAAATTTTTTTTTTTAGGTTGGATACGACTAGGCAGGAAGGGGGGCGTTTGGCGTGGCACATGTCCCGTCTCTTATGTCAACTTATACACCACTTGTATATGCTGTAAAGTAAGAAAATTTAATTTAAAATTTTTCATACAAAATATAATCTTTGTTTTTTAGGTTCAAATATTTATAACAATGTAGCATTTCACTACGAGGGTGTTAAAACGTAACAAAGACCTCCACCCTTCAATCTAAAATAGACCAATAATATTTGGAAATGGATTTGAAGCAAATTGGAACAATTTTTTGTGTATAAAGATGACATATTTTATCAGAAAAACACTCTTTCGTGTGAAAAACTTGTATTTTTTTAAGGGCACGAGGGTGTTCCGGTACCCCCTCCGGTCTTCTAGACACCCCTTTCATCTATAGATTTATATAAACTTGTAGCTTACTCTTACATCTATCTTTTGATACCAAGGTATAGACATTTGGATAAGATTTGACAAAGTTATAACAATTTTAGTAGGGAAAAAAAAAATTTTGGAACCAGTTTCTTCAATAAATCCATATATCGAAAATTTGCTACTAAAAACGCAATAACTTTTTATAGAATTGTCCGATTTTCATAATTTTTTCACCATTAAAATACTGTATTTGAGGGCTTTCTAATGATATATAATTTTCTAGTATTTAATTAATTTAAAAAAATCAGTCCGCGTACCTAATATATATATATATATATATATATATATATATATATATATATATATATATATATATATATATATATGTATATATATTTATATTATATATATATTATATATAAATATATATATATATATATATATATATATATATATATATATATATATATATATATATATATATAATATATATATATATATATATATATATATATATATAATGATATATAATTTTCTAGTATTTAATTAATTTAAAAAAATCAGTCCGCGTACCTAATATATATATATATATATATATATATATATATATATATATATATATATATATATATATATATATGTATATATATTTATATTATATATATATTATATATAAATATATATATATATATATATATATATATATATATATATATATATATATATATATATATATATATATATATATATATATATATATATATATATATATATATATATATATATATATATGTGCTAAAAACTTTGCTACATATATATATATATATATATATATATATATATATATATATATATATATATATATATATATATATATATATATATATATATATATATATATATATATATATATATATGTAGCAAAGTCTTTAGCATATCTCGTTTTTTTAACTCTTTTTTTAGGCAGCGCGAGGCAGACTTAATTTTGTGGAGTTTCTTTTTAGAAACAGATATACACATAGATACTTTTTGGAAAGAAGAAAAGCTAATCTTGCTTTATTTAATAAATTTATGTATTGTTATTATACTTTTTTGTCGATTATTTTGCTTCTGAATATTTGGTTGGTGTTCTCACATGAATTTGTAGTAGAAGAAATGTTGATCCGGTTTTGTTTTTTTTATTCAAACAATTTTCTACATGCATTTTCTATGCACATGCCAAATTTCAACGAAAAATAATTGGTATCAGATAGTTTAAAATGTGTTATATTACGTATACCACTTATTTTAGGTAGCTTTAGGCAAACGTTTTTTTGTGTGTTTCTTTTAAGAAACATGTATAAACATAAATTATTTTCATAAAGGAGAAAGGTTGATCTAAATTTTTATATGACTTTTATGTATGGTTACCCAACATTTTTATGGATTATTTTGCTGACAATATTGCATAAAAATTTCGTCCCTGTTCTCACAATAATTTGTTGTCGAAGGAATGTTGATCCGGCTTTTTTTGTTAGTTTTCCTATATTTTACATGCATTTTCTTAGCACCTGCCAAAAATCAACGAAAAATAATTGGTAGCAGATAGTATACTTAGTGTTGGACTTTTGGTACATAGTTTTGCTTTTCTGTGTTTTTTTTCGTTAAGCTTAATACGGGGGTGGATACAAAAAAAATAACAAATCCTAATATCGTATTATTTTGATTTTTATTATTAGATTAAAATAAAAAATGAATTCTGACAGAAGTTTTATTGAATCTATAACAGATTGTAAGTTTAATTTTTTTTATAATGATATCAATAATAACTATTTAAAATCAAAAAATATTCATAAATCATTTATGAATATTTTCTGATTTAAAATTCTTTTTTATGTAACATATAATTTATCTGTTTTTATATGATATAAAAACAGATTAATTTTTGATCTGTTTTTATATGTTACATAAAAAAGAAGATTAATGCTTCAATTTAAAACTTTGCTTTTGAATGTATTGTTAACTAATAGTATCTGTTGTCAATTTTATTATGACACAACATACAAATCAGATAATTCCTTGCAAAAGACTTGTTAGTAATTTTCAAATATAATAAAACTTATCATCTTATTATCATTTTTTATTATTTTTGGATTGTATACTTCTTTATTTGTGGATTATTATTTAAATCATAATACAAGCCTAATATTTACATGTTGTTTAGATCCTGCTCCACATTATGAAGGCTTTTTGAGATATCGTAAGTATAAATCAAATATTTTATATATAACCACAACCAATACAACCTAATTAATATATAAACAAAGTGAATAACCATTCCTAATGTTAGCTTGTTGTTTATTAATATATTTTCTTTACATTTTCACTGTTAGTTTTCATTATGTTAATACAGTTGTTGCATCTTCCACAGAATTATGATTTCTTTCTTTTCATAGTGTTTGTTGTAATTATACACTTTTTTTGTTATTTTTAGTTCAATCTACCCAGCCTATTTTATTTATTTTTATTACTTTTTTTTATCTTTAGCAACATCTTCATCTGCAATGAGTGGTAAGTTTAGCAATTATTAATTTTTAATTTTTGCATTTTTTGACACTTCCAAATTTATTTTTTATTAAAACTTTTCAGCTCTAGTTCCATCCTCAATTGCATTGAGTGGTAAGCTTAAAAATATTTTTATTGCATCCTTTAAAAAACCTGTTCATGTATGTATTTCGGATCAATTGCAATATTTATTTTTTATTACACTTTTTTTAACTTAGTTCCATCTACATCTGCAATAATTGGTATGTTTACAAACTATCACTTTTCAATATGTTTATGCATTTCTCGGCAATCACAATATTTATTTTTACTTCAACTTTGTTAACCTTTAGTTACATCTTCAGCTGCTACAAGAGGTAAGTTTATAAACTGTTATTTTCTAATATGTGTATGCATAATATACATGTGTAAAAGTATTGTTTCTAATATGTGTATGCATATCTTATCGATAGAAAGTAAATTGTAATTTTATTTTTAAAAAATTTTACCTTGAGTCCCACAACCTCCACAACAACTACAGATTTAGGGTCCAGTACCCTAGACCAATTAGTAATCGGTCATTTTTGCGGTGGGTCCGGTTAGGAGGGAAAAATGGTGAATCATTCAGCTGGGTCTATCATCCTCCTAAAAGGGGTGCTGGGAGCTACAGCAGAAGAGGAAGCCGTGGAGGAGGTTGTGGGCAAAGACGGAATGGTGGCAGCCTTGTCGTGAATGGTGGCATCCACTCTTACTAGGCGCCACCATGCCTGTTTTATTTAAAAATAAATATATAACATTATCAAGTTTGTTTTCCATTTTGTCCCAATTTTTACAATTATTAACATTTGATTTATTTATTATAAATCTTTCACAAAATGATTTAAAAACGAAGCATTGACAGGTGTAATAGTTTGCAAGGGATCTATTTTGTATGTTTTCAATGTGATTAAAAGTTGTAGCGTAAAAAGTTTTAAAGTTGTAGCTATAAATAGTTATAGACTTTTTAATGTGTTTAGGATTTTTTGAGGTTTTGAGATTTTGATGTTTTCTCATAGCACATATTAAATGTAGTTTCAAATTTATATGTAATGTTTTATAGAGTTAATAAATGTTAAATATCTTTGCATACCTAATTACTATTATTTATTTTATTTTAGTTTATATACTGTTTTTTTGAGTTAAGAAATATTATTTGATTATAGACCAGTTTAATTGTTTGATTTTAAACCAGTTTAACTTATGTTTACAGTTCCTAAATATTATATTTACGTAACCATTACTTGTTTGTAGAAGGTGTGTATGAGATTTTTTTTTACATGTTTTATTGTAATGTTATTAATAATTAACAAATTTTTATATATTGTTTGTTTACTTTTCAAAAAATTTAATTAAAGTTATGGTATTTAACTCTTTGTATATATATATATATTTATATATATATATATATATATATATATATATATATATATATATATATATATATATATATATATATATATATATATATATGTATATATATATATAAAAAAAAAAGATTGATCTTACATATGGTGCCTATAGACGGCTCTGGCTTACCTTCACCTGGTGTCTATTGTTAAAAATGAATTATTTAGTTTCATCATTGGAACTTTAAGTAATATCATTTACTAAAAGCCAAGACATAAATTTATATATTTTGTGTTTTAAAACTTTTTAAAATATAAGTTTTAAAACTTTGGTTAATTTTTCGGGTGGATACTCAAACTTGCATCTTGTAATGTGGTAAGATTAGTAAAGTTATGTCTCTCTTTTTACACAATTTAAAGACATTTTTGAAATTTTTATTGACAATTTTTTAAAGTTTAAATAAGAAGAGAAGGGGGGGCGTTGGGTGTGGCACACACCCCTCCCTTCACTAACATGGTAAAATAATCTTGAATTTATATTTATAAAATAATCTTGAATCTATATTTCTCTTTTTAAATAAACTCAGTTTAAAACCATTTTTCAAATACTTTTAACATTTTTTTTTTAGGTTGGAGAAGACTGAGAGGAAGGGGGAGGGGCGTTAAGGGTGGCATCGTCCCGCCCCTAATTTCAATTTATGCACCACTTGTATATGCTTTTATGTGAAAAAATAAAATTTAATCTTTTTAACACAAAATATTATGTGTTAAAAAGTTGTTTTTTTGTTCAAATATTTATAAGATGGTAACATTTCACTACGAGGGTGTTAAACGTAACAAAGACATCCACCCTTTAATCTAAAATATACCACTAATATTTGGAAATGTAATGGAAGCAAATTAGAGCAAATTTTTGTGTATAAAGATAACAAATTTTATCAGAAGAATACTCTTTCGTGTGAAAAACTTGTATTTTTTTAAGGTTACGATGGTGTTCCGATACCCCCTCTGGCCCTCTAGACACCCCTTTTATCTATAAAACTATATGAACTTGTAGCCTACTATTACATCTATCTTTTGATACCAAGGTATAGGCATTTGGATAAGATTTGATAAAGTTATAACAATTTCAGTGAAAAATAAATTTTGGAACCAGTTTCTTCAAGAAATCCATATATCGAAAATTTGCTACTAAAAACGTCATAACTTTTTTTTAAATTGTTCGTTTTTAATAATTTTTTCACCATTAAAATACTTTATTGAAGAGCTTTCTAATGATATATAATATTCTAGTATATGCTCAATTAAAAAAAATCAGTCCACGTACCTAATATATATATATATATATATATATATATATATATATATATATATATATATATATATATATATATATATATTGCTTATTACCAAAATGTGTTTGTTAGTCAATACTATCTTATATGCAGTATATTTACTATATTTAGAAAAAGTAAAATTTTATTTCAAGAGAAAACTAAATCATACCCTTTAAATGTTGTGTAACTGGTTGCAAAAGCAACTATGACAAAAAACATAAATTAAAACTTTTTCTGTTACCAGAGAAAAATGGATTCATACATAACCTAGGGAAAATATTTCAGACGGTCCAAATACATTTATTTGCAAAAATCATTGGCCAGTTGATTATGAAACCTGTCAAGTTCATGATAAAATGTTGTCCTGTAAATCCACCAACTATTTTTATCTGTGTATTGTAAGTCAAATTCCTACACCTCTACCAAAAAAAAAAACAACAACAAAATCACTACCATCTAGACATAACAAATGCTAATGAAGTTTTATATCACTGGATTTGTATAAAGTTAATTGTTTTGTTGACCTTCGCAAAAAAGAACATTTTGAACATTTTGCAACTACTGTTATAAGTTTTACGATTTGCTCATTATTTGGAGGTAAAAAATTTTTTTACAAAGCTCTGCTAGTGTATCATTTAAGTACTGATTTTCAATATGAGCAAGTTAATGATATGATAAATTTAGTTTCTTTGTGTAATGTCAATACTGTTGCAATTTTGTGTGATAATAATAGAGTAAATCAAGCATTCTTTAAAAAATTCATTTTGATTTCTCCATGGAGGACACTGAAAATATTTTTTTGCTTTACGATTATGTCCATCTAATCAAATCTCTTAGAAAAAATTTGGTTAACTGAAAAAATTCAAGAGTTAAAATATTCAGACTGTGGTTTTAAAAAAACTCTAAGTGGATTAACTTAAATATACTGTTTGAGTTGGAGAAAAATTCTATTGTTAAACTATCAAAGCTCAATCAAATGTCTATCTGTCTGAAACCCATAGAATGACAGAATGTTGCAAGTCTTCAGATTTTTTGCGCTGAAACATTAACTGCACAAAAGATTCATCCAGAAATGCAGGGTTCATGTGAAACTGTTGATTTTATATCAAAACTTGTAGACTTTTTTAAAATCCTAAATGTTAAAAGTTAGTTTGAAGATGTTCGATTTAAAGATTTTATGATCAGCAATTAGAATTTTTACTTGATTTAGCAATTATGTTTCAAAAAAATGGCACGAAATTGCACGTTTGCAATACATTACTTTTTCTTAGTACTAAAAAAAAGTAATGTATTGCGATAGTGTTTTTTGTGACCATTATTATATTACAGTATTAGTTATATAGACTATAATCATATTTTATAGAGAATATTACAACAATACTTTAATTTCTTTGTTATTTTTATGTTGAGAAGAGCAAGAAAGACGTTTCAAATATATATATATATATATATATATATATATATATATATATATATATATATATATATATATATATATGTATATATATATATATATATATATATATATATATATATATATATATATATATATATATATTTTTTTTTTTTTTTTTTTTACAAGGTCTTAGAGATGTTTTACTTTGTAATTAATAAAGTTGTAAACATTGTTTAAAATTTGAATAACATAGTTTTAGTAAAATTTCATGCTAGAGGTCAATTTTAGTTTTAGTTGAAGAAATTATGAAATGACAATGTTTATAAAATAGTCAAGAAAATTCATAATTCAAAAGCATGTTGTGTAAAGTCAAGGCCAAGGACCTAATTTTAAAACATAAGGCAAGGCCAAGGACTAACAACTCTAAAAAAAGTTTGAGAACAAAAAAAAATAAAAAAATACGCAGTAATAGTCCGAGTGACAAGCCCCGTCACGCCTTCATGGTGTACGTTATAATAAAATAAAAACAACCTTATTTTGTACAAAGTCTTGCTAATTTTTGCAAAACGTATACGACCTAGATCAAACAACTATATAGGCTCATCAGGTCTTATTATACTTATAGTATTATTTTTATAGGTATAGTACTACTGTTGCAAAAAAATTTACATAATTACCTGAAAACGCTAAAGATTTATTTTTCTTACATGATGCATTTGTTAATGTACCGTTTTACGAGTCTCTCTTTTAAACTGATTAGCTTTGGCTGAAGCTTATCGCTAAAAATCAATCTGCTGCAATCCTGACCTCTCTAAGTATAAATGACATGAGTCAGTTATGTTCATTTTAAAAACATTCTTGGTTATATATTTTTTCTACATCATAATAAATCCATGTTTTTAAAGTTAGATTAATAATTTTTAGTATTAGCAAATATTCAACAAAAATTTATAATAAAATTTAAGATATCTTAATACAAAGTGCTTGTTTGGATATTTAAAAGGTTTCAGTAATGAAAAAAAAAAAAGAAGAATAAATTTGTCTAGCATATGTCTAATATCCGGCCCATTGTGCATTGGTCGGAAAAATAACCCTAAAATCTAACTGTTCGCATATCTATAAAAAAAAATTAAAAAAAAAAAAAATGAATGAAATAATGAATAATGGAATTTTGTCGCCCGCTCGCATACTTTATCGTTTTTTTTAGGACAGCAAACAACTTTGCAATTCAATGTGGCCTAATGGCAAAATATATAAACAACCGAAGCTGTTATAACAGTTTAGCAGAAGATATATTCATATAATAATAAAGATATCTTAAAGTGTTTTTTTTTTTTGACATAAGTTATGAACCTAATTACAAATTAATACATTTGTGTTTGTATATTTTTAAAAAATATGCTACTTTTAAAAACAGCTGGAATGAATTATGTCATTTTGCGCTGTGCTAAGAACAAAAAGTTTTATTTTAAATCTATCTTAGTACATTACTGAAGCCGTAATAGCTATTCGTATCGACTGAGTGTTCAAAGATATAATTGTTTTTATAAAAATAACTTATGTTACTTTTAAATCATTGTTATAAAAAAAAAGAAACCAAATGTCAATTAAAGTTTATTTATGATTATACACAATATATACTTGAGTGTTAATTTCATTTTCAGACTCGAAACGAGTATGAAAATGAAAGTAACTTGTTTATAAAGTTTACCGCGTCTGTTTTTTAATTGTTTACGCATTCTAAATGGAATAAGTATTTTTTCAAGATGGCCGAATATGCTAAATCTAACCATTAAAACTGATTGACGTTTTCGTAAATCTTTGGAAGTCAAAATTTTTTAGAAAATGTGACGTCACTTTGTGGCTAAATACTAGAAAAAACAAACTAGTAATAAGATTTTATTTATATTTTTTAGAAAAATTCTTTTCATGGGATATATTCTAATAAAGACTAAATATAATAATTACTGTGTCATTTCTTTAAAACTATTTATTAATTACTATTGTAATAAATACAAACTCTTATCCGTGAAATAATATATCTTTACCAGTTTTACATCTTTGTGTGCATTGTATACATCCTAATTAAGATTAATTAAAAAATATAAGATAAATGCAAAAGCAATCTCGACCTAAAAAATATTTTTTTGCCACAAACTGACGTCACTAAACAAAAATTTTTTCGGTTTCACTTTTAGATTAGCATTATATAGCTAAGGCTATCAGTTTTAATGGTCTAAGTGCAAAAACGACTTTCGTAGAAAAATTAATACTACCATAGTTTATGTGTGAATAGTGAATCTAACGTGACATTATTGTTAAACATACTCACTTAGATGTGGTATTGAAAATAATAACTTAAATTTTCATTAAAAAATGGTTTTTCATGGATAATTTTCCCAAATGTCTGATTATAAATGCCAAGTTGTTTTTAATGAATGAAAACAAAAACCAATACGTGCTTTGAAGAAAAAATCAAACCCATAGACTTATCTATACCCAAGCCCCAAGGTACTTTATCTTGAAAACTACATCTTTTCTAAATAATACTACTTTCTATCACTTATGGTGCGACTCATTTCAAAAACAAAATTGTTTCGCTTAACTTTGACTTACCGAAACTTATCGAAATTATAAGTAAAAAAAAAGAGGAAAAATAACAAAGTTTGAACTTATACTTCATACTATATGTCTATGTAAACTTTTATATATTGACAAGAATAAAATTAGGGTACGAAGTAGATAAGGCTTGCAGAACCTGTAGGTTGTACAGGGAAACCTGTTACCGCATTTTTCTTCTTCTACGACTACTATTTATCCAGTTTTTAAAAAGAAATTAAAAGATTTCATTTTATTTAAAATATCTTAAAACACTTTTAATTTATTTTGTGATGAAATAACGTTTTATTATTTTGAGCCTGTATGTTTAAATTTTATTTTACACTTGAGTACAATTTATATTCATTTATTTAAGTACGATTTATTGTTTTTATTTTATTCTTACGTATAATAATAAATTGAAATAATACTTAAACGCCTTTTTGTAAAAAGTCGTTTTAATATTATTTTACGCACTATTTATTTTAATAGGCTTCAGACAAAAAGATCATTGTGATCTTCTTTTAGAAGCCTTATTTGTATTTGTAAAATATGCAATTTATACATATTAGATCAAATGTAAACAAAACATTAAAAAGAGATAAAAATACTAAAACAGCAACAAAAAAAATACAGTATTCAAAAACAAAAAAATTCATTTAATTCAAAAAAATTTAACATTTTTAGCATCGTTGGAAGAAAGAATGATAACATTTTTAGCATCGTTGAAAGAAAGATTAGAGATCACTGAGATCACTGACATAAAAATCAACACTAGGTAAAAGAGTAAATTTAAACTATTTTTTGTTGATAAATTTACTTAATAAATAATTAAATTATGTTGATCCGAAACTATTTTCTGAAAGATTGAAAACTTTAAGCTGAACGTTTTCGTTTATCCGTAACGTGATTTTTGAGAAGTAAAATTTTTGAGAAAAAATTCTCGGAAAATATTAGAGTAAATCATTCATTCACGACTTATCACAAAATCGCTACAAAACATCAGATGTCTTAAAAAGTTCTTTAATCAGCTCTTAAATCAGCTCTTAAGTCAGATCTTTTTGCAATTTTGTAAAAACATGAGCAGAGTTGGTACTTTTGAAGTTTCTACAAATAGCAAAATAGAGTTATATGTTGGCAATATCACTGAAATAAAAAATTACGACGTACTCGTCATTTCTGCTATTCCAGGTTTTTATTCAATAAACTTATTAAAGTTATTAAATGTATAGATAAAACTTTAATTAGTTTTTTTTAATTGACTATTTTTGACTTGGATCCATATACAATTTTTGAGTTGGATATAATATATCCAACTTAAAATTTATACATAACTTATGTATAAATTTTAAGTTGGATATACTATATCCAACTCAAAAATTGTATACTTATGTCATAAGTAGTACGTTAGTAGTAGGGTTCTAATTATAATATCTAAAATATAAAGGAAAGCAATTTGCATAATTTAAATATATTAACACAATATTATAATAAAAAAATATCACAATATCACAGTCTTTCACCTTTCTCATTGGTCAAAAAATATATATAAATATATAAAAAATATATATGAAATTTTTGTACTTGTAGTTGTTTGGAGAGAGTAAATCATTAGTAGCAAGTGGATTATGGCAGTTTGTGATATCAGGTTATTTTCATCAGTTTCAAAGTTATTGCTAGTGTTTTTGGGTAGTTTTTGGGTAAAATTGATGTCTCCAAGGTTTCAGGTGGTTTGATTATTTCTTCAATATGGCAGTGGTACATGGTGCTAAATTTTGTGTTGATACAGGATCGATTCTGCCATTCATGTATTTATATGTGCATACTGAGGTGATTCAGTTTCAAGAAAGGTAACTGGTTCTACCAGTGGGTCTCCGTTCAATTGTTGATGATTTATTATGAAGGGCAGTACTACCTGGTTCTACTAGGAAGTTAAATCAACACCAGTGATAGTTATGCATTTGAAACCCATTTGTCTGTTGTGTGAACTAGAATTTGTTGAAGTGTATAGTAGTGACAGGGGCGGATACAGGATTTTTTGAAGTTTGAAATAACTAACTTCCAGACATGGAGCGAACTCGAAACTTTTATATGTTTATAGTTATATCAAATATGGATACTTTGCAAAAAATTGAGTTGATAGGAGCCTGGGAACAAAAAAGCCCCAAAATTTTTGCTACACCTGCCCCAAACGTGAGAGCAACAAATTGATAAAATAAGTTTTTTACTTTTCTCAACTAAATCTATATTCATCGAGAAATTTTTAATTTTGTAAAACAATCTTTTAGCGTTCAATAATAATGGTCTTATAAAATTTGTATCCCCCTCAATTTGAGGGGGATTCAAACTTTATGTGGCTATAACTTTTGAACGTGAAGAGATTATTGTATGAATTTTAAAATTTCTTGATGAATATAGATTTAGTTAAGAATAGTAAAAAAATTATTTTATCAACTTGTTGCTCTCACGTTTGGGGCAGGTGTAGCAAAAATTTTGGGGCTATTTTGTTCCCAGGCTCCTATCATCTCAATTTTATGCAAAGTATCCTTATTTGATATAACTATAAACATATAAAAGTTTTAAGTTCGCTCCATGTCTGGAAGTTAGTTATCTCAAACTTCAAAAAATCCTGCATCCACCCCTGAGTGACCTAATTGAGGATAGAGCTGTGGGGAGTACCAGTTTCTAGTCAGTTTTTTCTAGTTCAAAACTTCATAAAGCTAAGTTTATTGTTTTCATAAAATTTTGCGGAGTTTTTTCGATATGATGTTGTTTATGTCTTGTTGACTCCATTACCTATAAGAAAGTTTTAAGTTTTATTCCTTCAAACTGACATATAGAGAGTGCATCTGCTGTAATATTTTCTTGTCCAGATCTTTATGAAATATTGAATCGATATTCAGATAGTTCTGAGCGCCATCTTGTAAATTTGTCCCTTTTTTTTTGGGAAAGTTATTCTGAATTAAAAAGGAAAAAAACAACTTTTTGATCTGTTAAAATATCAAATTTTGAAGCATATAACAGTAGATGTCTCTATCAACAACAATATTCCGTAATAGACATTGCTTCTCATTCTATGACAGAGTAGCAACTTCTAGGCTTTGATAGAACTCTGGAGAAAAATGCAATAAGTATTCCTTCTTGATTTAGCATCCCATTAATAGCAGTTTGAGAAGCAACAGTTTCAATTTTAAGTGGAATATTTGGGTAAGGTGTCGCTAAAGATCCTGTGGTTAGTTGTTCATTTAGTTGTTTAATGGCAGTGAACGATCTGAAAGTTTTTTGCTTATTGAGTCATGAGAATTAATCAGTATGGTAGTTAGACTTATGACTATTAGACTAGCATAGTTAGAAATTTTGCATCGTTGCATAGTTAGGGATCAATTTTGCATCGTATGCAAAGAAGCCTATCAAGCTGTTTAATTGTGTAATGCTATTTGTAATAGGATATTGTTGTAAGGCCTGAAACTTTTGGGAATCTGGTTTCAACATTCTGTTTTCTATTAGGTGTCCAAGAAAAACATGAGGTTTAAGAAAACTACACTGTTGCATTTTTATTATTGTGTTTTTTGTTTTGTTTTTGTAAATATAATAATATTGTGTTATTATTTTTACATTTTATATATTGTGTTCTTTTATATTTTAGATAATACAATAATAACATTACTCTAACTTAATACAATATAACATAATACAATAATAACATAACTCTAACTGTATTTTTCTTGATTGGGTCTACAACAATATTATTATATTATCTTATTACCCAATGGATCTTAAAATTTTCCAAAAACCTCTTCAATATGAACCATGAATTTCTGTGCTTGATTTTTTATTTTTCTTTGTTTTAGCAATTAAAAGCTGGTGCTTAAAGCAATATTCATACTATTATGTTTTTCTTAAAAAACACTTATAACAAAAATATTTTAATCATATTTTATGCTGCCTGAATAAATGAAATTTTATTTGAGAATATATATTTAAAGTGTATTTTATTATTATAAATATATTAAAATATTTATTTTGATCATTTTTATTTTTTTCATAATAATATCGATACAATTTGAAAGTAAACAACAATTTTCAAAATGCTATACTTTAGCTAGAAACAATAGATGACTGCAATTTCTCATCGAAAATGAATTAAATATGAGTTGTTGAAGCATAATGTTACTTAAAATAATCACAAGCAATTTATTTTCTTAAATATACCTACATGAAGTTAACAAATTTGCAACTTCTGTGCAAAACTTTTGTGCATGATCATTCATGAACTGCATTTAAATGATTGCTGTGACTCTATGATACATAGCGCAATTGTGTAACTTTCTGGAAAGCTTTACTAATGTTTAAAACATCATTAAATATTGATATTGCAGTGTAAGTTATTGAAATAGGCAATAGTAAAAGCACCAAATAAAATTATTTTTACCTTTTGTATCAAAACAAATTTTCACTACTACTGGTATATTTTTTTAAAAATGTTATCAAGAAAAAAAACTTTTAAAAACCATGATAGTGAACTGCCATATTTTGCCAGAACTGCCATTATCATGCTATCCTATGCTTTGAGTACATTGAGTACAGCAGGCCATTATCATGGCCTGCTGTACTCAAAGGTTTAATTATTTTTTAAGAGTAATGTTGGGTTTTAAACATTTTTCTTTAAACTTAAGGTTAGAATAGAACATTAAAAGCAACAAATTTTTTTCACTATCGTTACAAACTATTTCAGATTTTTTATCTTAAATGCAATCTTAAAATGTTTGCATAATTTTCTATTAATATCCTGCACTTTATTAATATCAATTGTAGGCCTAATTTTTATGCATAATTTTAAGGTAAAGTTTAAGACAATTACAATTGCTGTGATTGCTAATATTTATTCTTTTAATATTATATTTGCTCTCTTAAATGTTGTTAAATTAGTTTCTTTTTAAGTTGTTTATACGGTGCTTTAAAAGTGTTAATACTGTGCTTTGACCTGTAATGATTTAGGATGTGTGCTTTATTTTTGAATCAAAAATATTTTAAAGGCTGAAATCTGTTAATTAATTAATACATGATTTTAATATGAATAGTTTTAATTTATAAAAAATCACTTTATATTATTAAATTAATATAGTTATATATTTATTTTTTTCAGGAAATTATGTACCTACACCTGGATCTGTGATTGGTGCTTTACACAGAGATTTAAAGTTATCAGTTGCAGAATTATCTAAAAATAAAGAGGAAGTTTGTAAAGTATTTTCATCTTGGTGGTCTAAACGGCTTAATAAGTTACCTATGAACAGAATATTATGTTATGAAGGAAATTTCCGAAACCCAATGAGATCTATAGCAGAAGTGTTTGGGACACTTATTGCATTAGGAAACAATGATATAACTGTTGCAATGCCTCTTTTAGCTTCTGGAGATCAGGCTAGTGTTTTTTTAGTAAACTTTTACAATATAAACTTTTTAATATATATACAATACTTGACAAATATAATACATAACTTTTTTATATACAGTGCTTTAAATATTATTTCTAAGATTGTTTTATTTCTGGTTTAGAAATATTTTGAAAGGAATTTTATAAATCCACAAACTGTTTTCTAGTTTCAAGTTTTTTTAGTTTTTATATAATTTGCCAAACATTATTTTATAAAACTAGAAGAGATTAAGGATTTTCGGAGCAAAAAGATTTTCACAGTAAAATGATGAGACTTAATTGAATGACAAGTAACACGAGAATGAATTTTAGTAGGTAGCAAAAGCAATGCTAGCTTTTTAGAGTAGTGGTTATTATAGTATTTATAGAAAAGAGATAGAAAAGCATCATTGCCAGGATGTGATAATGGTTGGAGGTCAGCTGCACAAGCAAGTCCAACTATGTTTGTATTGCGTTTTTTCACCTTTTCTAAAGAAGAAAGAGCATTATTAGTTGATCCGCCTTAGATATGACAATTGTATTCCATACAAAGATGGATATGAGATTTCTAGAGATAAAGAATAGAATCACAAGTAAAGAAATGGCAAGCATTATAGAGAGAATCACCCTTAGCAGATGTTAATGAGAAAGATCAGAATTAAGAGTTCAGAATCCTAGAAAACGAAGTGTAGATGATTCATCGAGTAAATTACCATAATTATTGAAAGATCTACATTATTGTGATAACTATTAGCTTAAAAAAATAAAGTTTTTCCGCCACTGAGAGCCCCAAGTTGTAGCAGAAGTGAGGTCTTTTTCAAGCTCAAATGCCCCCTCCAAACAATCGTGTTTGGAGAACACAAGAGAGTGTTGGCTTCTTATCAAGACAAGTGTTAATGGTAGTATCATCAGTGAACAATGCTAGTTAATTTAAATTAAAAAGAGTATAGGGCAAAGGATAGAATCTTAAGTAACCCCTGAAGTTACAGAATATGAAGGAGAACACTATCAATCAAGGACAACTTTTACACCTTAATTGGTAAGGAAGGATTCGATTATATTAAAGATGTTACCTAATAAACCATAAAAAAAAAGTTTACGGAGAAGATCACTATTACAAACTTTATCAAAAGTTTTCGAAATGTTGAGAGTGATAGCTTTAGCCTCTCCTTATCTATCTATTGCACGATAAAACTTATCAGTTATTACCATTAACAAATCATCAGTAGAACAAGAAAATTGAAATCCATATTGATGATCCGAAACTAAGTTATTAGATTCAAGAGAAGGGATTAAGTGTTTATTAATTAAAGACACAAAAATTAAAAAGTTTGAAAGTATAGATAACAGCTCCGAAGAACACTTCTGCAGGACTATAACAGGCATGTTGTCTGGAACACAAACTGTAGAAGAGTTTAAGCAGGAAATTACTTTGGATACAGAAGCTGTAGTGATACAAAAGTCAAGCAATGGATCAACCTGTTTGTCGATGATATCAGGTAGAATGCAACTAGTGAAAATCAAAAGATGGTATTGATGAGAAGTTCTTAGCAAACAATTTAGCCTTGTCTTTAGGTGAGATGACAAAATCTGAGCCATACAAAAGAGGTGGAAGAACAGGTTTGCCTTTATTATAGATACTGTTAAAGATTCTCCTGAAGTTACGACAGCCTAATATTTGAGATGAAATACAAGATTTCATCTCAAATATTAGGCTGATAAAAGATTCCATTCCAGACTGAATCCAAGAAGTTATATAAAAAGTACATTGGTTAGCAGGAAGATAAAAGATTTCTACCCAAAGGTCATCACTAAGAAAATCATGGAAAAAGACCAGTCAGCTTTTAGTTAGAGGTATAATAATAGGGGGATTCTGATGATGAAGAAGAATTTTATGAAGAGATAATTTTTAGAGTTTTAGAGAGATAAAACCAGGGTCAGAAGCACCCAAGGGTGAATACGAAGAAACCGAGTACTGACTAGGATAATGTAATTATGGTAAATGATTTGGATTGTCTAGATTGGTTGGAAGGTAAATAATTCTGGTTGTCTGGAAAGCGAGTTGAATAGTTGACTATTTGAGTTAGGGATTAAGAGATGCAAAAGTTGTGGTCTTTAACGCCTGCAGAGTCACTGACACTATAGCCTAGCCATTCTGCCAGATGAACATTAAAATCATTTACAACATCAGTATTGGCTGATGAATGAAGAGAGAGGGCTTGGTCAATTTAATCAGAATTAACATCAAAAAGAGTGCGGTCTTGAGATGAAGGAGAGCGACATAGAACAAAGAGAAAGGCAATATAGTGTGTTGGTGCTAAACTAAATCACATAAAAGAATAGTTTGTGGATTCAAACCTAGTTTCCTGACAAATAGGTGAGTTCTTATAAATATAAATGCCCAGCCAAGAATGTGACTTTTGGAGTCTTTATAAATTAAAGGAAGATAACCATCAATACAAAGATCACAATATGACACATATTGACACTCAAATTAGTCTCACAATAAGCAAGTAGGTCTTGTGAACTTTGCAAAAGATTCAACAGAAGAAAAGTTAATTTGAAGACCAGGAATATTAGTGAATGATAGATTTAGTGAACTTGTTGATGGTGATGGTTTTTTGTGTTTTATAGTTTTTGCTACTTTAGTCATTTTTGAATTTGTTAAAGAACTTGACTTAAAGCACAGATAGTATTCAGTAAGCCTTATTACTATTAATAAACATCACTAAGCCATCAAAATGAGTTTAAAATGTGGACCTGAGAGCAACCACAGTGTTCAGGAAACCTGACTAACAGCCAGCCTCATAACCATAAAACTGAGTTTTAGAGCAGTACACTCAGGAGATAATAGAATGAGTTGCATGGTTATAAAAACAGAGAAACAAGCAAAACTCATGCAGTGAGTCAAGAAGATCCAGTGTTGTTTTATATTCTGTTACTTGTACACATTTTTTTTTTTATGTTACTTGTACACAGTGTTAGCCAGCCCGATGGCACCATGTATACCAAGGAATTTTCAATGGGTTCTAAATTCCCAAAATTCAATGACTTTTTTTTTTAAGTAATAGGAGAATTTCAATAAAAATTCATAATATTTTCATAAAGTAATAATTTATAATATTCATAATATTGAAAAATAACAGTAAATGTTCCCAATATCACAAAAACAAGACAAAAAATATTCCTGTCTTAAACTTCCTGTTGTAGTATATGTTAAAGGTTATTAGAACAATTTGCAAAAATTTCAAAATAATGGCTAATGTAATTTATGTTTCAGAAGTAAGTTATGCTAAAAAAGCATAATTGTAAAAATTATGTTTTTGAAACATAGTTTACATCGTCTTTTTTCAAACTTTTTTAAAGGAAATTTTAAATCTAAAAGTCTTGACAGCTAAAAAAGTTCTAAAAACTAAAACTATCCTGAAACTAAAAGGAGAACTACCCTGCTCGCGGGATTATAGGGGTTACAGATGGAAGCAGATTCAAACCACACAAGAATAGATTTTAAACTTTTTTCTATGTTTATTCTTATTGTCTGTTTTATTTCATTAAAAAACTTTTTTTATGTCATATAAGTAGACTGCTTGCTTTTTAAGTATAAGTACCAAATTTCATTATGCTTATGTTAGTAAATAATCAAGTTCATTATGTCTCTGTTGGTAGGTAGGACAATGTTTGATTCATTATGTCTCTGTTAGTAGATAGTACAAAGTTTGATACATTATGTCTGTTATTAAATGAGAAGTACCAATTTGATTCATTAGGTCTCTGTTAGTAAGTGAGATGTACCATGTTTGATTCATTATGTACATGCTAGTTAGTAAGAAGTTTGATTTATCTTGTCTTGGTTAGTAAAGCACTCAAGTAGTTTTTCTGTACATCATCGTTATTAGTCGAAGTTAAGTTCAGCAGCCTTATTAGTCAAGGTTAATTTTTTAGAGTTATAGGTTAATTGAGGGTTGTAGCTACAATTAAAAAAGATCTTTCTTGACATGACTTTCTTCTGGTAACCCCTTGTCCTTAGGAATGTAAACACTATAAATTCAAAGCCAATTATTTTTTTTCACTTATACCTAAAAAAACATCTGCATATAATGCAGGGTTGGAAAAAAACCCAGTGATTTTTGAAAAAACCAAACCCAAATGGATTTTTTGGGGTTTTATTGTTTTTTTTTGGTTTTACTGATTTTTCGGTTTTTTAAAAAATTGATTTAATTTTTAAATTTTATTTTGTAATTTTTATTACCCTTACCTAACCTTGTAATTTTATATATTTACCTCCCTATTGCTCTATATCACCTCCCAATTTTATATATTCACCTCCCCATTGCATATAATATTCACTGCAGCCACTACAGTTTCCATATTTTTAATATTCTCTTTCAATCCTTCTGAACACAAAAACTCAAACATTTTTAAACGCTGTGGTGCAGTGTGGAGAAATAGATTGAGCACAGTAATTTCAGAGAGCGCAGGGTAGATTTGAATCTCAACCTCTTGACTGTGAGCCAAAAGTTTAACCTCTAGTCTACTACCTTATTAGATCTATGATGCACAAAAGAACTCCTTTAACTATAAATGTTTATTAATTGCATTAAATTAAAAACATGTTTAAAATATTTTTAACTAAAAAAAATTTCACAATAAAAATTATTATAAAAACTGTATTATTCAAAGTTGGTGACAAAGTTTGGAAAGACAATATAAATGCAAAGTTTTTTTATTTTAACATTTTTAACATGTTACTTTAAAATCTAGTTTGCACAAGTTTACAACTTATAATCAACAAGTTTATAACATTCTATATTATTGTTAATCGGGATGATTATGAACACTTTTTAATCGTTTTGCGTTATAAAAGAAAACTGTTAGCCTTATTGCAATCATTTATTTTTTAACAGAAGGTTATATAATCAAGATTCTAGAAAAGTCCAAGACCTGATCAACACTATGCAGTAAATATCTTAATTTTCTTATTTTATACAGTTGTTGTTAGGTCAGGTTATCCTGCTACTTATAACATGTAACCCAGTACAATCTGCTTCATGTCCTGCTGCCTTGTAGGATATGCCTTTTTTCGGCTAAGGCTAGAAGATACCAACTCCGACATAAAATACCCCCTGCATTGAGGCTCTTGGTTGAGTAAAGGCTAGAGATAGTGTCTTGATAAAAATACTCATCTTATGGAGATGTTAAATGCATCCAGCTGCTGTCTTGTAGAAGGCCTCTTAGGTAAAGACTTAAGGGCTAAACAGATTCTATCTGTTGACCAAAAACTCAACTCAAAAAAAGAACAACTCCAAAACTCAGTTTTATGGTTTTGAGGTCGGCTGGTAGTTAGATTTCCTGAATTCTGTGGTAGCTCTCAGAAAGGCTGATTCCATCAACAGCTGAAAAATATCAAAGTATTAACAGTGCCATGTTGCCCATGGGTGGTGTCCCTATTTGTACTTTTGGTGTGCATTGCCAAGGCCGCATTAGAGCACCTTGTTACCGCTTAGGGTTTATTAATAGTATTGAGGCAATTATTTGGGTTATTAAACAGTGCACTGAGTACTTTCTATGCTTTGAGACAAGTTCTTTAACAAGTTTAAAAATGAATAAAGTAACAAAAACTATAAAACGCAAAAACCACTGTCATCGCCAAGTTCGCTAAACCTATCATTCACTAATACTCGTGGTCTTTGAAGTAACTATTCTTCTGTTGAGTCTTATCACTTGCAAAGTTCACCAGACCTATTTGCTCTTTGTGAGACTAATTTAAGTTTGGCTGTCTCATCTTAGTGTTAATGTTTGTTTTTTTAATTCGTAAAGACTCCAATGCTTGGCCTGGCATTTACATTTGTAAGAATTCACCCATTTGTATGAAAACTAGGTTTGAATCCACTTACTAATCTTTTATTTGCTTTCGTTTAGCACCACTTCACTTTATCACCTTTCTTTTTGCTCTATATCACTCTTCTTCATCTCAAGACTGCACTCTTCTTGATGTTATTTCTGATCATATTGACCAAGACCTCTCTCTTTATCCATCAGCCAATATTGTTGCTGTTGGTGACTTTAATGTTCATAATACTGAATGGCTTGGTTCTAGTGACAGTGACTCTGCAGGCACTAAAGCTCACAACTTTTATATTTCTCAATCCCTAACTCAAATAGTCAACTTTCCATAAAACTCAAATTGTTTACATTCTCTACTCGACTTATGTCCTGTTTCTGATCCTAGTCAGTGCTCAGTTTCTCCACATTTACCCTTAGGTGCCTCTGACCACAGTTTGATCTCGCTAAAGCTATTATCTCATCCTTCTTTATCATCAGTATCCCCTTATTATCGTACATCTTACAACTACCTTAAAGCTGACTGGAACTCCTGTGGTGATTTTCTTCGTGATGGTAGAAATCTTTTGTCTTCCTGTTGACATATGTGCTTCTTACATAACTTTGTGGATTCATGCTGGCATGAAATTCTTTATTTCCTCTCGACGATTCCAGGTCAAGTCTTACTCTTCTCCATGGTTTTCCTCACATTGTGCTGCTGCTGTTGCCAATCGAAACCATTACTTTCATATCTATTAGCAAAATAATTTTTTAGAAAACAGATGTCTGTTTATTACTACTTGGAACCATTGTAAAAATATTTTGTCTATTGCCAAAGCCTGCTATTCTCAGGTTATGAAATCTCGTATTTCATCACAAAAGTTAGTCTCTAGTGACTTCTGGAAAATCTTTAATAGTATCAATAATAAGGGCAAGTCTGTAATTCGACCTCTTTTGTATGGTTCAGACTTATCTTTAGGTGAGTCACCTCACCTAAAGGCTAAGCTGAATTGTTTGCTAAGAACTTTTCATCAATATTATCTCTTGATTCCACTAGTTGCGTTCTACCTGATATAACAGTCAAACAGGTTGATTCATTGCTTGACATTCGTATCACTCCAGCTTCTGTATCTTAAGTAATTTCCTGTTTAGACTCTTCTACAGCTTGTGGCCTGGACAAAAATACCTTTTATAGTCTTGCAGAAGTGTTCTCTGGAGCTGTTGTCTATACTTTCAAAACTATTCAACAAGTACTTATCAGATCAGTGTTTTTATGGGACAACTAGAAAGATTACCATCCTCACCTCATACTGCAATTTTATTTGAGGGTTTTATAGTTTTATAGTTTAAGTGGTTTTTAAATCAGAGTAAAGGAGCCTTCTCTTCTTCACTTCTTCACTTCTTCCCAATATAAAAGCAGTTCTATAGAATTCTAAGGGGAAAGCCTTTTTCAATATAAATGTTTTAACTGCTATGATTAAACTTTACAATGATTTTCTAGACTCTGTTATACTGATATAAACCTTTAAGGCAGCCAGGAGTGCAATTTATTATTTTTATTTTTTAATTAAAATAATTTTTTTGAAGTAAATATTTCCGTATAGGAAAGAGTAAATACCAATTGTCATGAGAAAAGAGCTATCCATGGATAAAAGCTTCAAATAAGTCTGTTAACCATGGCTTCTATAGATTTTGTTCTGTGGACATAAACATTTTAGCTGGTGTAACCCAGATTGATCTACAGTAAAAGTCAAAGAAACATGAAGAAAATGCGAAATCAGTCAAAAAAACATGAAGAAAATGCAATATCAGCAGATCACAGTCTAAATTTGTGACAAATTTAGATGGTTTAGCGTTTAGCTCTGAGGCTACCTACAAAAAGCATAATATTAAGTACCGAAGACCAAGTAGTTACGGCTGAAATTGTTTGTTGTTTAAATATAATTGACTCAAACTGTGCATTTTCTGCAGCTGATGGTTACAATGCGAAATATAAGTGTATGTTTCAGGATTCTGAAATTGCTAAAGCATATCAACAAAAATCGGATAAACTTAAATATATGATTCAATTATATTGACCTTTATATAAAAAAAATTATTTGGAATAAGTTTAAATGTTTGCCATTCACATTTCAATTTGATGAAACAACTACATCACAAAAAAATAATATGATGCTTATGCCACATACCATTCTAATCACTTTCAGCAAATAATAAGATTGTATTTGAAGGCATTGTTTGTAGGTAGGTGTACTGTGGAAGACCTTGTTCATTTTAAAAAATTGTTAGGGAAAATTCAGCTGCATCCAGAGTCAATTCTCTCCATTAGTAGGGATTGGCCTAATGTTAATAAATTGTTCTAAAAAATATCAGAAAATCATTTTGAAAAAAAAGAAAAATTCATCATCCATGTTGGGTCATGTCCACTCCATACAGTTTCCAATTCTTTTTTGGAAGGTTTGAAATTGTTGATTTCTGAGGAGATTGATTTAAACCAAAGGCAACAACTGAAAGGTGCATTCGTCTTTGCCTGCCATTGCATACTCTGCCATCTTTGTTGCTCATGATTTCAAAGGCTTCACAGTTACATTTGAAACAAAACAGCCAATGATTACGGTCCTGTTCCCAAAGATGTCGAACCTTCTAAAGAGTTTGCTCTCAAAGTTTGCTATTGATGATGTTATAACTTTACCTGAGAACTTTCTACTTGACTGTGAATAAAGTGTAAAAATACTTATATAGTGTTCTACTGGTGGCCTTGTACTGAATTTTGCAGTTATAATATATACTTTACGAAAAAAAGATCAAATACCAAATGACATTAAAATTTAATGACAGATCTAAAACGTTCAGGCATATAGGTATTTAAGAGGAGAGAAAAGATATAAAGTAACTAGTAATCTCTTGTACTTTGAAATTTAGTTGGTAAAATGATTTTTTTTTCCTTTATAAGCATTAAACTAATTTGCCCAAATATTTTAATACATGTTATAATAATATTTTTTAATATTTAACTTGCTAATGGTTTAAAAATTAATAAATTATCAACTTGCTAAAAAAAGATTGATTTGATTTTGGATTATTCTGTAAGAAGTTCAAACAAAAAATTATAAATACTATTTTGTATATAAATAGAGTGTATATCCTGGGTATAAGAGAATTTACAGTAAAAAATTTGCAATTTATTTATAATAACGCATTTCTATGAGTTTAAATCTGACCAATCAGAATCATTTGTTGTAAAATATTTTAAAAGATACAACTCTCAGGGTTAGGTTAGGTTTTTTAGTTTTTTTAAGGTGGGTTTTTTTGGATTTAGTTTTTTTGGCAACCCTCATATAATGTGGGTGTTTATAATGTCTTTTTTTCTTTTCGCAATAACAATTAATCTTGTGTCATTAAAATAATATTTGTGTTTTTTTCTCCATAGAAATACAGCAAGGAAGATATGATGAGGATTATTTTTAATGCATCAACTTGTTGGATGCAAGTTGGTTTTCCAATAAAATTACTCAAAATTGTGGTTTATGCTCGTGATGTTTATAATCTTGATGCTTCAGCATTATCATTGTGCAAAATGTTTGCTTTTCTAACAACTACGAGTTGGAGGATGTCATTACTTAAACAAGTTAGTTAAATGTTCTTAGTAGTAAATTTAAAAAAAATATATTTTTTTTAGTAAAATAAAGAGATCTAACTGAAATCTTTTTATAAAAAGATGTGTGTTTTTTGATCTGTGTGCCTATTTTATTTAGGAATATTGATATTGTTTTAAACAGTTTTTTTTAGGTTCTTGTAAATTTTTTTTGTAAACCTTTGACGATAATCTTTCTAAAATAAAAACCCAGTCCAGAATGCAAATGAAGTTAACACCAACAAGAGTAGTTATAAAAATATTGCATTCAGTTTTCCAAACTGTCATGTTTAACCCTAACCCTAAAAAAGAAAATGGCATTATGAAAACCTGTTCAAACCACCCAAGTTTGAAAATATGCAGCCCTCAGAATTAGAAAAATTAATAGGAAGTTTTGAAAAACCTAAAAGGAAAACTGTTCTGAGGTAGAACCATTTTTTGCAACATTCCAGAAGTTCAATGCAATAAGTTTTTAGTTACTCAAATAAAATAATAACACTTTATCATGCTTTAAATTAATGAAAATGTTAAGTAACTTCTTGTAATATTTTTTACTAAATAAAATGTTAAGTAACTTCTTGTGATATTTTTTTCTAGCAGTAAGCAACTCATATTACAGGTTAGTAATAAATAAATAACAATTTAACTTGATATATTATCTGAAAAAGATAAAATACAAATTCATGTATATATAGGGCTGCCATTGTCCCGGTTTTTCTGCTAAGGAACATATAAAAGTTTTAATTAGTTTAATGTTGTGCTCTCCTCCGTAAGGTTCGGGATAAAAACAGCCTTATCTATATAATATAATCTTTTTAGTTTTGCTCGCTTTTATTGGTCTTGGCATTTAGTAAAGACCACATAACATGATATTAGGTTCTTTTTAATAACAGCAAGCAACAGAGAAGGAAAGCCAAGTACAACTTACCAATATCTAAAAAATAAAAGAAGAAAAAAAAATCATCTTAAACTACAAAAGCATTATTTACATAATTTATTTATATTAAAAAACTACAAAAGGGGCTGGGGTAATTATTAGTAAATGTTTTTAAAAAGTTCACAAAAATTTACACCATTTTGTTCTTCTATACCACATAAATACATCATATGATAAATCTGAAAAAAAAAATGTAACGAATAAGTAAATGAAAAGAAAAACATTACGTATGAAAAATGGGAAACAATGTACCTGATAGAGATGAGCTGTTGTGTTATCGGAGTTGTAATTGCTAAATATTATTATTTGCTTTTAGAAAATAATTTATGCTGGTACATCATGATTTCAAAATGCTTATAGCAAAATCATGTATTGAATAGCACTAAAGACAAAAAAATCAAATTGAGATAAAAACAAATTGATTTAAATTGATTTAGATAAAAAAAGAATGATTAAAAGCAACAAGATCCAATAGTGAAACTACCTATTTATCATTTTTAACAATAGACACCAATGTGAAGGTAAGCCAAATTTCTATTAACACAAAATATTACAAAAAAACACTAGAACAATACACAACAATAACACATAAGATAATGTAACATGTATATAACATATCATTCATATATAACGGAACATAAGTATCAACATTACGCAAAATGATATTAAAAGACATTGTTATGTGTTCACAGAATAATTAATAATATAGATTAGAAAACACCTAGACCTAAAGAAGTAACACAGTTTGACACTAAACACTGCCAAGACACACCTCTGCTATATGTACATTGTTTGCCTGACAAGGTTCACAAATCTTTCTCTACACATTTGCCAAGTCACAGCTCTTTGAAAACATGGAAACAACATAGTATAAACATATCAGGCCTTGCGATGAAGCGGGAGCGATTGCTCCGTGCATGTGAAATGGGCCCATAAATGGTCTTCCAGGTGCGACAAATAGCGCTTGCTAGTTTCGTTATGAGAGTAAAAAATTGCGCTCTTCTGAAGAACTTGTGAGGGAGAAAATTATAAGTTGATTTTAAAGAAAATATTATCACTAAATTTTTTTTGCTGAAGCCATATGTTTAAACAGTAGAGTTTGCATATTGTTAAATAATGTTATATTCATAATAAAGTACGTCACGCATAATTTATGTTTGAAGTATTTTAATTTTAATTCATGCGTCATAAGTTTAAATTAAAAGTGATCTATTTTTTTCTATTTCAAAGCTAAATTCAGCATGTTTTTTTTAAATTCCAGTTGAACTTTATTATATTATCCGCTTAACTGTAGCCTTGTTAAATTAACTCAACGCGTTTCAATTGAAACTTTTCAAATCCTGCTTACAAACAACAAAATAAAAAATGTAATGTCACTATTTTCACAAGCGCATTTCTTAAAATATATGTCAGTATATAAGTTTACATATGATATTTGTATAAGTATATATATATATATATATATATATATATATATATATATATATATATATATATATATATATATATATATATATATATATATACACTAATATGTATTATAATAATATAAGTTTATTATATATTTATTAAGTATATAATCAAATATATAAAAACTATTCACTTGATAATAATTAAATCACGCATTCTGTTTAAATTAAAAGGAAGTTTTCTGTTTTGTGCAAACAATGAATGGAAAGTTATGAAGTCATTACTGCTAACAGATAGAATAGAATACTATTTTCCAAACGTTTCGTCTCAATTATAATAGAAAAATTAAATTAAAAAAATAAAACTTGATTGAATTATGAAAAATCAAAAGTTGAAAAATCCATAAGATTTTGTAAAAACCTAAGATTCTTTTGCTTTATTGTTTTTAATTTTTCACACATCTCTTGTAAATAAAAAAAATATTTTTTTTATTTTTAACTATTATTTATTTTAAACTAAATTAAAAATATATCTGTTGTTTAGAATGTCCGCAATCAAGCATGTTAGTTTAATTCCAATAGGAAACAATGCTGTCATTTTATGTTAGGTTGTCATCTTTTGAAAATGAAAAAAATTCAAACAAAAAATCGTCTACCCTTTTCTTGTACTGGTATGCTTTTGAGTAACCCCCTCCCACATACTTGCGTACATAATTTATGGTGGGCAACCAATATCCAACTCTGAATATCGCTCTCAAAGACTTTATGGTGAGCGCGCATAATCGCGCTTTTTGATAACGTGCTCTAGTATTTCGAGCGTGAAGTATCACGCTGGGTGATTTTATTCATCACATGCACTGCATATATACCAACTATAAACACAATATATATTTAACCTTATATTTATCAAAAAATATATATACTTTGTATCTAATAAAAATATAATAAAATGCTAAACTATTTTCTATACTTACTTTAGTTATAATATGATCTTAATGATGAATAATTATCTTATTTAGATATTTATCTTATTATGGTTCTTAATCTTAATGTGATTCTTTATTTTTAAACTAATAAATAAATAAATAAATAAAATCAATAATAGTTAAATTCCAGAAAGTAAAAAGATTTAACTCTCTTGGTAGATCTTTCTCAAATGACCACATATATTTTTAGAATACACTTTTTTAAGTTCAGAAAAACCTAGTAACTAATTAAAACTACATTAAAAACAAAATTGAAACAACATTGAACATTGAACGTTGAATCTAACAATTATATTAAGATGGTATGGTTATATGCCTTTAATATACACAAAACTGTTGCAGTCAGTCAAATCTTTTTTGATTTAAAATCAGTATCATAAATATGAACTTATGCAAAAGAGCAGCATAATAAATTATGAAGTTGTTATGTATATTATAATTTATGCAAAAGTAATCTTAATACACAGGGTAAAGGGTTAACTAATTTTTAAAAGAATTCAAAATCTTTTTTATGATGTGCATTTTTGAATGTTAAGAAATGTTAGACCCTAGAGGGGATTTAAATTATTTTCTTTTTTACTGCATACATACTTAATCCCGCATAAAAATATTTTTTTCTACTGATTAAATAGTACATTTATTAGTACACAATTTCTACTGATTCAATATTACAGTGATTTCAGAAAAAATATATATGCTCATGAAAAGTCCGAACAATGAAATTAGGATAAAATGCATTAGAAACAATAAAAATAGAGTTTTTGATGTACTTTAATTTGCATTATTTGTTGTAATAGGTTATGTATACATAAAAAAGTATTTCATAATCAGAACCAGAAATAATTCTTAATTTCAAGCCTGAATTAAACTCAGTTTTTAATAGCATTATTCTCCTCATCCTGTAGTCCAATTATTTTTTAGTGTGCTTATTGTTATCCAGAACATTATAATCTTATAAAAAATTCTCTCCTAATTAATTTTACAGTGGGCGTGTATTTCAGACACCCCCGTTTAGTAAGTTCGTAAAAAAGTCTTATTTGAAACAAATATTGCTGAAAACCATACCTTAACCTAACCCTGACCTTTAGGGATAGGCTCAGGGTTTGACCCATGGTTTTGATTAGGGTTTTGGTTCAATAAAATAAACTCTAGGGTTATAGCATGGTTTTTAACTAATATTTTGTGTAAAACGTGACTTGTTTTTTACGGACCTACTAAAAGGGGATGCCTGAAATACATATCTACCAAATATACTAATTGGTTATTAAACGACTTACCTTCTTAAAGTATGTTAGATTTTATATCTGATGTGTAATTTTCTTGCAAAAAAACACAACAAGAAATTTTATTCATCTATCTCATCATTAAACTAACTTCTATTTCACCTCCTTCTTACAAAATCAATTGATAATTTATATTATATTACAAACCTCAAATATTCATTTAAAACCGTGTAAACATATTAAATATAATTACTAATTAAAAATTATGCTAATCACAAACCGCATAGTTGTCACTAACTGTTTTTAGAGTTTACCACAACATTATTTATTTTTACCACAACACGTATTAATTGTCTTGATGCACATACCAAGTATTGAACATACACATGTTACAACTGTGATACTAAATTTGTAAAGTTTCTTAGTAAAAGTAAAAATAAAAAGTGACTTTGAGTCTAATTTTAATTCCAAAACTTCTTCTTGTTTTCCATTTCACTTATTTTTTTAGTGTTTCATATCTTGATTGTAAATTTTGTAAGATTTTTTCCAACCCCTTTACTAGTTCATCCCTCTCCATTTATTTGACTTTTTATTTTACTATCATGATATTTTAATATAGAAACGATCAGTGTGGAATAGTCTGACCATCACTCGTAATATATGGGTCATAGTGAGTCCATATTTCACATATTTTTAAATTTGTTTTCACATGTTTTTTTTAAACTTTTTATACCAACTGTAATTAACCTATTATTATTATTATTATTATTATTACTATTATTATTATTGCTATAAATGAAATTTAAGTTCACATATTACAGTTAAAAATATTTTATCATTAGTGAGTTAGACAAATTTGGCTGTACTTGGTAGAGTTAATTTATTTAAGCAAAATAGTAGATTAGAATTGTTGTTTTTATGAATAACTAATACCCAACAAATATTGTTGAAGGGATTGCAGTTGAACTATATTGGCATTTTGAGCAGCTCATTACAGTTTTGCTCATTGGTTATTTTGTGGACCACTAGTGGCATTAGTTATAAGTAGCCATCTGATAACTTTTTAACATGTTGTATAGTGACTAGTCATCAGGTGTTTGGCGTCTGCTACTAATGGTCCACTAAGTAACTGATAAACAAAGCTACTGTGGACTGCTTTAAATGCCTATATAGGTCTACTGAAGTTCTGCTATAACATGTTTGCTGGGTAGTGTTAAGTTTTGCTAATGCTTACATAATAACCTTACATAGTTACAATAAACTACAGGGTATAAAAGAAAAACATACACGTTTTTATAGATGAATAATTGTGTGTTATTTTCTGTAAAGTATATTTAATCAATATTTTACACTGTAAGGTATTTGTTTTGTTTATTTTTTTTTTATTTAAACTTTTTCAGCCACAAGAACGCTATGACATTTATATGTCTTACAATTTTAAAGACAAATTTCTTGCTAATGAAATAGTTAAAATATGTGAAAATTTACATAATGGTATTCGGATCAAACATCCTCAATACATTAATGAAATTGAAGTATGGCAAGAAGAAATATATAAGGTATTGATATTGCCATTTTCTAGTACATGATAAAAATATTTTCTCTTTCAACTTTTTAATAGGTCTGTATTATATGAATTGCTTTTTTAGGTCTTTATTTTGTATTGTATTAGGTCTGTTTTTTTTTTTGTTTGTTTTTTTCTGTTAGATCTGTAGTTTACATTGAGTATGATGTTAAGTCTTTAATGTGAATTATTTTGATCTGTATTTTATATTGCCTATCTTTTTTTTAAGACATAAAGTTAATGAACTATTTGTTGTGTTATTTGCAAGTTTTTTTCAAAATTCTATACTATCTATACAACCTTTTTGGATACTGGGGTGGTGGGACATTTCATTTTTATAACTTAAACTAAATTTAATAAAAGAACTGAGCAAAAGAAGTTTGTCTTTTATATCTTATGTCACTAAACATTTTCGGCAAATTTTAGCGATTTCGGTAATGTAGTTTTTTTTAGTTGTAGGTTTCTTTTATTATTTTTTTTTAATTCTCAACTGCTCTAAATTATTTAAAAAGAGCATGTCCAATTCTTTTTCTTAGATCACCCAAAGGAATTCTAACTCCAGGCTGGAACGCGTGTTTCTTCAAAAATAATTTTTCTCTAATAGTATAACACCCTGGTCTTGAAAAAAAAAAGGAAATAACTGTTTTTTAAAAACATTAACAAAATTTGAACAATATCTTTTTATAAAAAATAACTATTACATTTTAGGCTATCGTGAGAAGTTCATGTGTTATTGCTTTGATATCTTCGGAATATTTAAATGATTCCTCCTGCATTGAACAGTTTAATATCGCTCTATGCTCTTCAAGATATCAAAATTCTGGTGATTTGTTCATATTCTATGTTTCAGAGATATCTTTACCTACTTATATGGGTTTCCATGGTTTTTTTGATTGCAGGTTGTCTTTTAAATTAAAAAGTTGTTTTATTTGGGGTAGTAACAACATTTGTTTTTATTACTGGATATATTTAACTATTCACTAACTTGTTTTGTTTAATGAATAATAGTATATACAATATATTATTATTTATTATTGTAAAATTTAAAATTTTATAGAAGATTTTTTATGCCAAATATGTGAATTAAATTTATAATAGGCAAGGTTATGAAAAAGTGATGAACGCTTGCAAAGATGTTTGTCGTTCTATATTTGGATCTACCGATATTGTTCTATGCCCCGATCCTGTTGAAAGCAATGAGGTGTTGATTCCCGTTGAGCACGATGAAATGCTAGTGTTAAAGAGTGTTTAGATGTATCTGTTTTAAACGGTGTGGGTGGAGTGATGCTTATTTAAACAGCATTTAGATTCATCTGCTTTCAATGTGTGAATGGAACGATGCTTATTTATTGACAAATTTAATGTTTATGTTATTCTTTTTTCTTTTTCTCTCAGATATCTATATTATTATATTGTAAATATTTTTGCTAATAGTTTTTAAATAATATTTATTTGTATTATACTGTTAAAATTTATACTAATATGAAATAATAAAATATGGTATAAATAATAATTAAATGTTCTATAAAGTAGGTAGAATCGTTGATCGGTTTCCACTCCCGTTTTAATACGGGAACGGGATAGGAAAGGGAAAAATAATCAAGTGAGCATGCGTAGTTATACTTAGTACAAATTAAAACTTATAATACGCATGCCCACGTGATTATTTTTCCCTTCCTTTCCCGTTCCCGAGAAAAAACGAATGAGTGGAAACTCACCTTTATATAAATTACCCTGATATGAATTAGGCTGATATAAGTCATACCATATGAACTAGAGTTTGGCAAAAACCGGAAAATTTCAAAAAACCGGTTTTCCGTTTTGACAAATCGTAAAACGGAATAACCGGTTTTACATCGGTTTTTTGTTATAAAAGACTGCACGATTCTGAAATTGTTATATAACTATCTCAAATTAAAACAATTAAACAACAATTACAAAAAGTTAAGCAACAAATGAGGTAAAACAGCAAACAAAAATAGTTGACAAAGTATTTCAAGTAAGTGTTATTTGTCTTCTGTGGATTGTTTTGAGTATTATAAGTATTTCAAAATTTAAAAATTGTTGAAAGATTCTGTTAGTATGTAACCTAAAAATAACTGGTAAAACAAATAAAATAAATAAAATACCATGGAGGTATAATAGAATGGAGGGAGAACGAAGCCAAAAATCATTTAAAATTGTAGTACAGTCTTCGTTGTATAATTATTCCAGCGGAAAGTCAAAATGGCGCCTTTGCGTTGAAAAATAAAAATTTTCAAATGTAGTTTGTAAACTTTGTAAGCTGTAATCAAAATGGATTACTTTCTCAAAAATTTACTGGATAAGTTTTTAAAAATTGTTCCAGCTATCAATTAGTAATCACAACAAAAATGATCTACGTAAAGTAATCGTTTTTGAATACCTCGATACAAAGTATAAACTTGTCAAATTTTAAACAATCTCTACTACTTGGTTGAATATTTTGCTTCCCCGTTTAACTATAGGTTTCACCTTATCTTTTGTTTCCCCGTTTAGCTATAGGTTTTACCTTATCTTTTGCTTTCCCCATTTAGCTATAATTTTCAAAAACGTTCTTTCGGCAAGGAACTTATGATATCTCTCTAGGATTTTATTCTGTGTTGTGGTATTTTTGCTGGATTTAAACACAAATTGTAGGTATGGGCTTTTTAAAAATTAGAAGAGTAAACTTCACGTTACTTCTAAGATTATTCCTTGAGAAACTTTAAATTCGTTCTCCCGCCAGTCTATTATATCTTCTTGAGAAACTTTAACTTCGTTCTCCCGCCAGTCTATTATATCTCCTCGAGAAACTTTAACTTCGTTCTCCCGCCAGTCTATTATATCTCCTTAATAAAACTAAATATAATATTAAGTGCTTTTTAAAACTAATATTTTCATGATATTTGTGCTTTTCACGTTACTTGTTAGCTTGTTAAAACAAGAAATCTTCAAACTATTTATCTATTTAGCAATGTATAATCATAGAAGTACGAAACAGATGGAAGTTCATCGAGCCGCAAACATCAAAGCAATTTCAAGTTGTCTCGGGAGTATGCTTGTAACCGACAATAAAAAAAAACAAGTTTCACTATATAAAAAAACAACAAGATTCACTAAAATAATCTTTATTAAAACAATAAAAAATTTATTATTCTAGGGATATGCTGCAAATTTTTAAATATTAGTAGTTGCAATTATTCAGCAAAAGGTTTATTAAAACTCGGTAATTAAATAGAACCACTTGATTTTAAAAGCATATGTTAGTTTAAGCTTCTTTTCTTGCTTCAAGTCATAACACGACATTTGATAAAAAAGAAAACTAAAACAATTTTTAAAAAATCAAAAAAAATTATTTTCTAAATAACTAAAGTATAAAGTTTTATTAGCTGTATATCATAATTCCATTCATTCTTGTAGTACTCCATTCATTTAACATGAAGTTTAAAAAAAAAGTTGTTGCTTGCCGTTTTGTTGCGCCACTTATTGTTTTTCTTGAATATTATTGGCGAATATTTATTTTTAAATTATTGTAAAGGTACTTATTTGCGTCAACGTATCAAGGTTAGGCGTTTAAGTACAGTCTTGATGTCGTTTTCTTATTGTTTACGAAACAAAAGATTACGAGCATAGTCCCGAAGATTTTCAATCCAGTTGAACTTCCATCCGTTTTATACTTTAATGGTATAATTAACGTTTACGGTTTTGAGAAACTGAACAAAAAACCGGTTAACCGGGTGCAGTCTCCACCGGTTACCAAGCACTAATATTAACGTTATTCCATTCTATACATAACTCTAACATTAATTTATAATCATACACAAACTGATAAATCTAAATAATCATGTCATGATCCTACTTAAAAGTAGCGTAATTTAAAGCCTATTTTATGTGAAGTTTCTTTTTAAAAAAAAGTTTTTTAGAAAGGAGGGGGAGGGGGTGATTAGAAGGGGGCGAGAACGTATGCGGTTTGACTTTCTGCTTATCTCTATTACTGAAAAATTACTGAAAGAGAAAAAATGAAGATTGTAGAGCAATATAACAATTCACAGACAGCTTAAAAGATTTCAAATTATATGAATCAGGAAGGCAAGATAAAGGAAGCGAATTCCAAAGTAATGATGGCCGAAGAAAAAAACTAGTAACTTAAGAGTTTTTGGAGCACTTAGGAACAGTCAAAGAAAAAGGACAAGACTTGATTGAATGACGAGTAACACGAGAATGAATTTTAGTATATGGCACGAGAGACACTAGCTCTTCAGAGCGGAAGATCGTTAATGTAAATTAAAAAGAGTATAGGGCCAAGGATTGAACCTTAAGGAACCCCAAAGGTCACAGAATAATAAGAAGAGGACTATTCATCAAGAACAATTTTTATACTACGATTGGAAAGGAAGGATTCAATAATATCAAAAGTGTTTCCACATACACCGTAAGAAGAAAGTTTATGGAGAAGACAAGTATGCCAAACTTTATCAAACGCTTTAAAAATTTCATGAACAATGGCCTTAACCTCTCCATCTTTATCTAATGCACGATAAAACTTATCGGTTGTTACTGTTAGCAAATCAGCCGTAGAACAAAAAGATCAAAATCCATATTGCTAATCAGAAAGTAATTTATTAGATTCAAGATGAGAGATTAAGTGTTTGTTAATTAAAGATTCAAAAACCATAATTATGATTTAAAAAGATCTCATTAAAAAAGACTAATGAGACGGTAGTTAGACAAATCAGATCGCACTCCAAAAATTTTTAAAATAGGGATAACAAATGCTGCTTTCCAGCAGGCTGGACTCAAAACAAGACTCTGATAAGCACTTGTTGAACAGTTTTGAAAGAATAGACGACAGCTCCAGAAAACACTTCTGCAAGACTATAACAGGATTGTTGTCTGGGCCACAAGCTATAGAAGATTCTAAGCGGGAAATTCCTTAAGATACAGAAGCTGGAGTGGTACGAATATTAAGCAATGGATCAACCTGTTTGACTGCTATATCAGGTAGAACGCAACTAGTGGAATCAAAAAATGATATTGATGAAAAGTTCTCTGCAAACAATTCAACTTTGTCTTAAGGTGAGGTGACAAAGTCTGAACCATACAAAAGAGGTGGAAGAACAGGCTTGCCCTTATCATTAATACTATTAAAGATTTTACAGAAGTCAGATTAGTCTAATTTTTGTGATGAAATACGAGATTTTATGACTTGAGAATAGCAGGCTTTGGCATTATACAAAACCATTTTATAATTGTTTCTAGCAGTAATAAACAGACGTCTGTTTTCTTCAGAATTCTTTTGCTGATAGATAAGAAAGTAATTGTTTCGATAGGTAATTGCAACAGCACAAGGTAAGGAAAATTATGGAGAAGAGTGAGGCTTGACCTGGAATCGTCAAGAGGGAATAAAGAATTCTATGCCAGCTTGAATCCACGAAGGTATGTAAGAAGCACATTTGTTAATAAAAAGACAAAAAATTTCTACCCAAGGGCCAACACGATGTACAATGATAGGGGTATTCTAAAGATAAAGAAGAACAAGATAAGAGTTTTAGATTAAACTGTGATCAGGGGCACTAAAGGGAGAATGTGGAGAAACTGAGCACTAGGATCAGAAACATGACATAAGTCGAGTAGAAAAGGTGAATGATTCGGGTTGTCTGGAAAGTGAGTTGTAAAGTTGACTATTTGAGTTAGGGATTAAGAAAGGCAAAAATTGTGGGCTTTTATGCGTGCAGAGTCATAAAACTAGAGCCAAGCCATTCAGAGTGATGAACATTAAAGTCACCAACAATAACAATATTGGCTTATGGATAAATTGAGAGGGTTTGGTCAATATGATCAGAAATAACATCAAGGAGAGTGCAGTCTTGAGATGAAGGAGAGCGATATAGAACAAAAAGAAAGGCGATAGAGTGAAGTGGTGCTAAACGAAAGCACATAAAAGAGTAGTCTGTGTAATCAAACCCAGTTTTCCAACAAATGGGTGATTTTTTGCGAATGTAAAGCTCACGCCAAACATGTAACTTTTGAAGTCTTTACGAATTAAAGAAAGATAACCATCAACACTAAGATCACAACATGAGAAAGCCGAACTTAAATTAGTCTCACAAAGAGCAAATAAGTTTGGTGAACTTTGCAAGAGATAAGACTTAAAAGAAGAAAAGTTACTTCAAAGACCACGAATATTATTGAATGATAGGTTTAGCGAACTTGGTGATGACAGTGGCTTTGGTGTTTTATATTTTTTGTTACTTTATTCATTTTTAAATTTGTTAAAAAACTTGTCTCAAAGCATAGAAAGTACTCAGTACACTGTTTAATAGCCTAAGCAATTGCATCATTTCTATTAATAAACCCTAAGCCGTAACTAAGG